TGTGTGTGTGTGTGTGTGTGTGTGTGTGTGTGTGTGTGTCTGCATCATTCTGTCTGGTTCTCCATCAACATTTAATCAACTGTGCAGACGACCAGAAGAAATCCGTGTTTCCCCTTTTTCCAAAGCCCTCCCACCATTTTACCTTCATTTGTTTTTATTAGCCCTGTAATGCCAAACGTATCATATTTGATGCATACGGTTTCTGAAATGTTTTGCGTCTGACACCTTTTGCATAATTTAATGGTAAAAACTTTGCTGAAAATCCTATTGTACACAATCAGATACACCTGATAACAGGGGGCAGAAGACTACACAAAAAATAATCTTGACTTATCGCATAGTAATAAATGATCAATATCAAAAATGTATTTCTGTTTTTTCTTTTTACATATTTTGTTAAAAGGCCAAATAAGGAATTGAAACCAAAAAAAGTAATTTTCTGTTTTGTTTTATTCTTGGATCGGGCTTTAAAGGGTTAAGCGAGCGTGTTTCTTTTGCACATTAAGCCTAAACACCATTTTTCTAAGCCGATGTTAATGAATATCTTACTCCTAAAATACAATGTTTCCTATTTGAAACATGGATTTCTGGAACCTACCACATGAAGCTTTGGAAACAGTAAATTATTTTATTTATATTAAAACATAAAGGACATTTTTTAGCAGTATCGAACAAATTTGAAAATAATTGAAAAAGATAATATTCTGTCCATTAATACTTTGTAATAAAAATATTAATTTAAGACATTCTTGTCTGAAAAACAGCTTTATATTTGTGTTTATTTTGTTATGATCTGTTGTAGAAAAGCAGGAACTATAAGATCCTTAAGTAAAAAGTGAAAACTTGAAAGGAGATGCAGCTTCTTTTACTGGGTGAGCAGTCAAATGAAAACTATTCCATCATTCATCACAGGGAGAGCTGAACTTTGATCAGAAACGGCCTTAAATTGCAGAAAAATAAAGCCTGTTTTCCTGCTCACCCCTAGCAGGTCTGAAGTTCTCCTCAGGGCCTCTTTGTCCACGTGGATGTGGTGGCTCTCCATGGCTGAAATAACACGCAAATATGTGTCTCCACACACCTTTAAAAGCACATCTATCCATATATATAAAAGGTTTTATCATATGGGAACTAAGACGGTTTATGAGCTTATGAGTTTGAAAGCATATCCAATTATCTGAAAGTCACAAATAAATATTTGTGACTATATAAATACAGAGCAGGTCAAAGGTCACAGGTAGGCTGGTCCCGATCCGATATCTGGATCGGATCGGCCGCCGATATTCGCAAAAAAAATGCAGATCCAGACTCCAGATCCAGTTTTTTTATTAAAGTCCGATCTCCAAACCCACAGGTCTGTGTCCTAAATCCCTGTTCAACATGAGTCTGACAACTAAGGAAGTAGATAAATAACTTTAGACTTTAACACATGCTCTGATAGGCCGGGATCAGTATCGGATCGGAAGGGAAAAAAGCTGGATCTGAAAGTCACAAATAAATGTGCGAATCAAATATTATTCGACTGAAAAGTAAAGAACAAAGTAAATTGGGCTCACCAGCCAGAACAGGGATCATCTTCAGCTCCATGTCAGAGAAGAGCCTCCACAGGCCTCGGCTCTGAACACACACACACACACACACAAGTCAAACAGTGTGTGCAAACAGCTGTGTGTGTGTGTGTGTGTGTGTGTGTGTGTGTGTGTGTGTGTGTGTGTGTGTGTGTGTGTGCGTGTGTGTGTGTGTGTGCACACCTGCAGTTTGGAGCACAGCTTCATATTTAGCTTGTACAGCCAGCAGAGATCAGAGATGATGTGAGAAACCTGGAAGGAGAAAACAGATCAGCACAGTGAGACACACCTTTAATTCACATCTATAATTAAAAGCGTGGGACGGGGGGAGGGGAGGGGGGCATTAAGTTAATATTGTGCTTCCACCATAACTTCATTATTAAGTACTCTTGTCTTTCTTAGATCTTTTTTAAAGCCTTATTTCCAGCATTTTTCGTGCAGTTTTGGTGGGTTTTGATGGGCCTCTCTCATCTGGTCTGGCTGTGTGAGTTGGGCCCTTTTTCCTGCTGGACGTTTGTGAAATGTCAAATCCAAATCTTTTTAACCCTGTAATGCCAAATGTATATTTGATACATATGGTTTGTGAAATGTCTTGCAAATGTCTTGTCTTGTTTTTTGCATAATTAAATGGTAAAAACTTTGCTCAAAATCCTGTTGTACACAATCAGACACACCTGATAACAGGGGGCAGAAGACTACACAAAAAATCATCTTGACTTAAAAAATTATTTTTGTTTTTTCTTTTTACATATTTTGTTAAGAGGCCAAATCAAGACTTCAAACCAAAAAAAAGGAATTTTCTGTTTCTTTTTATTCTTGGATCAGGCTTTAAAGGGTTAATTCATTGCTCTTTACAGCTCTCCCTTTAGCAGTTTCCCACCCGGTCAAATTTCACTGATGATCCAACTGTGCCGTGCTTTGCCTCTAAATGTGCTTTTATATGTATTCTGAGCATGTACTTGACTCTGTTTGCCCCGTTTTCTTCGTCCTGAGTTCAAACCTCATCCACAACAATCGGACTGTGCATTAAAAACTAAATTGGGAAAGAATGAACATTTTTTATATGTAATCTGAGCATTAACTTGACTCTGTTTGCCTCGTTTTCTTCGCCCTGAGTTCAAACCTCACCCACAACAATCGGACTGTGCATTAAAAACTGAATTTGGAAAGAATTGAAAATAAGGAAACGTTAGCTGGGCCTTCCTCACAGACCTTCTGGGCTCCTGGAACCGGCGTTCTGCTGCCTGTCTCACAGTGTTTCTGAAGGAGGCCTCTGAAATCGGACCAGGGATCTGCGGGGTCCAGCAGCCAGCCCGAAACCTGCGGGTCGTGGATCCGGACGCCGGCCACTGGACACAGAAGCTCTTTAAGATGGTTTGAACAACAGATCAGGAGAATATCTGCCTGATTTTAGAGCTAAAGAAGCTCAGAACCAGACAAAATGCTCCCTCATGAATCTGACTTTTCACCAGTGCATCCTACATGTGTTTAACTCTGTTTTAGATACTCTAGGAAACGCATCAGGTCAATTGTTTTTAAATTGACTTTAGGAGAAAAAGTGCCTGGTTGCTCAACTGTGTGGATGTAAATATAAATAAGAGAATGAAAATTAATAGTTTTATCTATTTTTGGCTCATGATTTTCTGCATGATTCCTTCATCTGTTCTGTATTCTATCTCAAAAAGTCAGAAAATTGAGATAAAATTAAATTTTGGGTGGTTTGTTTTTAGGTTTTTTACTCTTAAAAGTTTGAAAAAATAGAGCAGGAAGCTAAAATCAGATAAATATTTAAAAAATAACAACAACGAGAGGCCATAGGAGGAGCTGTAAGAGGTGTCAACAAAAATAAATACCATCTAATCAACACCAAGGCTCTACAATTAATGTGTAATGTAGGTTTCCTTGGATTTGCAGTTAAATATTGACTAATACTGACGGTTTGGAGGCGGATGCACATAAATAATGGTGTCTGTGAGTCTTGCCGTGGTTCCAGTCGAGGTTTTGTCTGTCAAACTGCATAGCTGTGCGCAGGAAGTCCTTGGCTTTGTAGCAAACCACCGGCTGGGATCTTGATAATATCCGCAGGAGCATTTCTCTGAGGGCCATAGAGAGAAACATCTGCTATTTACCACCAGCTAGTTCCTCCAAAGAGTCTGATTCTCCAATTCTCCTCCACCCAGACCAGAGATGTTCAGTAACCAAGTAGAACTACTTTAAGTACTGTACTTAAGTACCAAAATACAGTATCTGTACTTTATTGGAGTAGATATTTTTTCCTCTACTTTTACTTTTACTCCACTACATATTTTTTTATTAATGCAATACTTTTACTCTGATCGATTTTTCACAGGCTGAATCGTTACTCGTTACTGATATGTGAACGTAACGATAGATAGATCTGTCCTGGTTTGTGAAGCTGGCTCCTCATTGGCAATCAAGCATAGCCTACAAAATAGCCTCCCGAAACACTTTTTAATTATGGCCTTCAAAAATTCGCCATCTAATCTGAAGAAGCATATCAAGGTAAATTAAAAAATACAATGAAATATAAGCTAGTTAATAAGCACTAGTTCAGTTCTTCCTGTTCACTCAGGACGTAGCAGCTAACGTTAGCTAAAGCTAACCTAGCTGGCTAGCTGTATGCTACATGCTAGCATAAAACCTCAGCTCAGGATTCTGACTCTGGAATAATAAATAATAGTAGATGAAGTGCTGTTGATTGCTAATGCAGATGTAGTTTTCTGTTTTTTGTAAACACCTGTATGACCTTTCACACGTTTGAAATAATATAAACAATATCTATCACACTTTTGACTGCCTTTTTTTAATATACACAGTACTTGTACTTATACTTTCGATACTTGAGTAGCAATTTTTGAAAAACTTCTACTTGCAATACTTAAGTACAAAAAAATGGAGTACTTCCGTACTTCCACTTAAGTATGGTGTTGAAAGAACACTTCAACTTTTACTCAAGTCAATTTTTTTACATAGTACTTGTACTTCTACTCCACTCCTCTACTCCAGTACTTTCTACATATCTGTCCAGCGTCTCTTAAAATGCATTTAACTAAATCTGTGTTGACTTTAATGAAGGACTTAAATAGTAATTTCTCAGCTTCAATTCGTTGTATGTATGGAGTTGTATGGAGTTGAAACAACACTTAAACTTTTACTAAAGTCAGTTTTTTTTATATAGTACTTGTACTTCTACTCCACTCCTCTACTCCGGTACTTTATATATTTCTGACCCAGACGGACCTTGTGAAGAGCTCCTGGGTGTGGTGCGCTGGTTGCTGAGCCCACAGAGGTGTGTGCTCCAGTTTTAGGTGGATCAGATCGTCGTTTGGCCCCAGTGAGTCCTCAGGAGGATCGCAGGGAGCTTCGCTCTTCATCAGCACCAGGAGGCCGCAGACCGGAGGGGGGGGCTTCTGTCCCGGCGTTCAGAGACAAAACGGGGACACGTGTTTATGTTCATGCATTTGGCAGACGCTTTTATCCAAAGCGACTTACAGAGTAGACACAATATTACATTTCTCATCACTATGACAGTAAGCTATACAGAGGAGAAACACTGATCAGAGTCAGTGGTGAGATAGAGATAGAGGT